ATAAACATGTGTAACTTATTTCAAAAGACGTACATATAAAGAAACACTACAACATTTGTTTTCATTTAATTCTGACTATCGAAAGAAGAGTTTTCGAGTTATTCTACTGAAAAATAGAATAACAATGAAGCAACAGTGTTCACAAAAGGAAAAAGTAATTACATTGTGGGTTTATTCACTTTATTGAAAACATTTCTTAAATATGTAAGTTTAGTCACTAGATCCCGTTGGATCTGATGCTAAGAAATGTGTAGAATGTGCTACCTACCGAATACAAAAAAAGACGGTAAAAAACTATCTCGTATCTTCAGAGCCACTATGTAATTTTGATTAAAAAATTGTAGATCTGACCAGCTGTAATAGTCGCTGAAGACGAATATGACTTTCGGAAGGCTTCTATGGGTTATCGGTTCAGGTCTTCTTCATTTGTTATAGAAAAGATACGACTTCAAGTCATTAAAAATGTAGATCCCAACATTTAGTAATCTGCAAAATTGGATATTTCCTCGAGAACGTTTTCTAAGTCTGATAAACTACGAAAAAGTTATTTTATCGCCGAAGACAATGAAAAATTTTGATGTTTGTATAAGAATTTCGATGCACCGTATAAATCTATCAATCTGATGGAGCAAGAAACAAATGTTTGCGTCTACTTCAGCTTTGCAACTCTGTTAAAAATAATAAAAAATTCCTATGACATTCAATAATACTTTCGTTCCTTTTTTTTTGTTATTTTAGGTGATGCTTTTGACTATCTTGATGCTCCACCAATACGTGTCACTGGTGCCGATGTTCCATTGGCATATGCTAAAACATTAGAACAAAATTCTATGCCACAAGTTCCAAATGTTGTCAAATCGGTTAAAAAAGTTTTAAACAAATAGAGCATCTTCTCTTAGACACTTTGTTGTAGTATCAAAACTGTATCTCAACTTTAGTGTGCGTGTATGCTTTATTTTTTATTAGACTAAAATCCCAACAGACAAAAAAAATACACTAATAAGAAGAAATTAAAAAAATAGAAAACTAATTCATGCTTATGCAATCTCCTCTTGTTATGTGTACCTCTCATTCAAATATGTATTCGTCTTCTTTATTTAATAAAAATAGAAAAGTAGAAAATAAAACGGCACATATATAAATATATACATTGGTTTCAATGGGCATGAATGTTTTATTAAAATACAAATTTTCTCATAAATTTACCATCTTGAAAAGACAAAAAACAACATTGTTACACATCAATCATCAAATGAAATTCAATATGTTGATGAAAAGAAAAAAAATATTGCTGGCTGCACTATATTCTTATCGAAATAAACGAATGTGTATATAAATGTTGTTGGGCTCTTTTAAAGAAATAAAAAATAGAACAGAACAATCAATATTGTAGTTTCTCATCTGATGAGATTAGTGTCGAATTCTTTTTTACTCTTATTGCTGTTGTTGTTTTTGTTATTATTGCTGTTCTTTTTTTTTTCTTTTTTCTTTTCACAATCTAAAAGGTATAGGCTGTATGTCTTTTATAACTAAATTTTGAAGTGATCTGTTACCTTTTGATTCCGAAAACAACTAGCAAATATGACAATGAAATGGTAAGTTTAGAAGATCATTTATAAAGTATTTGTTGTCATAAATTAAATTTAAGTAATCAAATGAAATCGGACGATTTAAGTTATTGGAATGTGAAAAAGTCGTATAATAATAATGAGATGGAAAATATCGATGATGAAGAACGATCTATTGCTCTTAGTAAGTAGGCGTTGTCGAGTGTGCCGTTTTGTCGTTATTGATTTCTTTTTGTTACATCAATTTGTTTGACTTTTTATTTTTTTTCTTGAAGGTGTGAGTTTATTATTAAAAAACAGAAATATTTCTCGACGAAATCTAGTACAGTTACCATCACATCTCATTACATCACCCAATTGTCAATGTCATCGTTCATTTCATATTTTTTGTACAGATTTATTTCATGAAAATGATCAAAATATAGATATGATTAATATTCATCCAGCACCCCGTACACATGATAGAGATTCATCTCGGCGAATATCAACACCCTATAGAAAAAGTCGTCCACGACAGCTCGAAAATAATGATCAAGATACTGTTATAACAAGTAGATCAGAGCCATGTCAAGTGATTGGTCCAGAAAATCAATCACTTGAAAAAAAGGTAACTTTTCATTTGCATGAATAAATGTTTTTTTTTTGTTAATCAAAATTAACTAACGAGGGAACGTCCCCAGGTGTTAAATCGCTTTTGGGCCGAGTATGTGCGCAAACAATAGACCTCAGTGAGTTATTAAATACCCTAGAATGGTTTGGTTTTCCAGCCTTCTGTTGTCGAGTTATGGAGCTTGTACTCGATTTTGGCCTATGGGCATAGCTTCTTCTGGGAACCTGAATAATTGAATTTCGAACGGAAATTTTCTCCATAAATAGGCCTTTTAAGCACTAGAAACTCCCCAAAGTTTGAGCCAGAACGGACGTATCTTTATCGAGATATCAGCTTGTCATGAAAATGCCCCTATTTTGAAACACAGTGCAAAACATGCGTCTTTTTTTAAATGTGAATATCTCGATAAAAATACGTTCGTTGTGGCTCAAACTTTGGGGAGTTTTTAGTGCTTAAAAGGCCTATTTATGGAGAAAATTTCAGTTCGAAATTCAATCATTCAGGTTCCCAGAAGAAGCTATGCCCATAGGCCAAAATCGAGTAAAAGGTCCATAACTCGACAACAGAAGGCTGGAAAATCAAACCATTCTAGGATATTTAATAACTCACTGAGGTCTATTGTTTGCGCACATACTTGGCCCAAAAGCGATTTAACACCTGAGGACGTTCCCTCGTAAACAATATTTTTCTTTATTTTCTAATATTATTTAATTTTATGAAAGTCCTCCGTCACCAAATAACGATTTCGGACCAGATACATTCAAATTATATGAAATTTTCAGGACATATCGTAGAGCAATCTAAAATTCTCTGTAGACTTTCATTCTATATTCTTAAGTTTTTTTTGTTTGAAAGAGCATATAAAGATGCAGAGCATGACAGAGTTTCTTCTTCGAATCAAGCTATATTACTACTCTGAAAGAAAATACCTTTATAATTAGAGCGTCATTTTTGATAGCTTTTTGAAGAATTTAGCTTTTCATTCTTTTTTTCTTTTCAAAAAGCAAGAATTTTATAGTAGAAGAGCTCTGCCATGCTCTGCATCTTAACATACTTTTTCACACAAAAAAAATTACGAATATAGAATGAAGACCCACAAAGAATTTTATGTTGTCTAGTGAGGGTTTTTTGACGCTTGTTTATTGAATATTTCGCAAAAATGTCATGATATGAGGCTGAAAATTTCTTGTCATTTGAATATACCTAGTCCAAGTTTGAGTTTTACAGGACACAGCTTTAATTAATTCAAAAAATATTTTTCTTTATTTGATTTTTATTAATTAATATGTTGAAATTTTAGTTACGTGTTCCACTAAAACTTCCAATACGAGCGACATCATTAAATATTCAACCTTCTTATCGTTCATTTCAAAGTCCATTAAAATATTCTCCATCAATACGTATACCAAAACAAACACCAGTAATTGATGAATTACAAATTCGTGCTTCATCTGTTTTTGATCAATCACCATCAACATCACAATTATTTATTCCACGTGGCCCACCACCCTCACCAAAAACACCTACACAAGAATCATCAACAATATTCTTAACTTCAATTATTCCACCACCACTTCGTGCTATATCTATAACACCATGTGCTAGAAATTCAAATGAAAATACGAAAAAACTAACACATACATCATCCGTTAAAATAACAAATTATGAAGATCATGCACGAAATTATCTTTCAGCTTCAGATTGTTCTGATAATGATAATGATGATGATAATAATGATGATAATGATGATGATAAGAATAATAATGATAAAAATATCAATAAATTAATAACTGTAAAAAAACCAAAAACGCCTATACGTACTCAATCATTACCAAAACCAGGAACAACATTACGTGATCGTTTGTTGACACATAATACAAATCATTATTTAAGTTTAGCTGAAGTTTATTATTCATCATTTGATGTATATAAAAGTCTTACAGAAAAATCTAGACGACGTCTAAGACCACAAACACGTTTAACGATGTCAAACAATGACAATGATGATGCATCAACAACGATAACAAAAACAACAAAAACAACACAAGGATCACAAACAAAATCAGGTTTTGGATTTTCTAAAACAGCAAGTTCAATGCATTTTGGATATGCAGCTGGTCGACTTCCATTACAAGGAAGTGTGAGTAAAACAAAAATATTTAAATGAAATTTGTGATTTTCCTTTTTTAGTTTGAAAAATGGCCACAACCTCTTTCGCATCGAACACCAATTGAAAGAAAACAAGAAGTTACAACACTTCGTCTAGTGACATTGCCTTTGGTTACATCGTGATAAATGAAAGACAAGAAAATGACATAACATAATCCATTGAATAGAGATTTCTCTCTTTCATTCTAGTATTTAATCTTTTTTTTTATTATGTCTATCGCAATCATTCATTGTCTATACTTCTTTTCTTGTTCTTCATGTTCTTCTTATCAATACGGATTATGTTTCATGCATCAACAGAACTAAGTTGTACCCAATCGTGTAGAAAAAAAACCATAACATCAGAGAGGCATTAATATCAATTGACGTGTAGAAAGAGAATCAATTATTATTTTGTGTGTATCAGAAAGATTGATGACTGTTCGCGCGTACAAGCTACTGCCATATGCAGATATCAATGAGCTCGCTGCAGAAGAGCGACATATTGAATACATTAAATCTTATTGGTCACAAGAAATCGGCAAATGAACGAATTTATATTAAATATGTGGTTCGACCGTTTTTTTAGTCTGATTCATTTTTTTTCTTTTCAAACCATTGAATCCATGCTTATTTTCTTTCTTTATGTCATTTGAATCATTTCTTATAGTATAATGCCATACGCTAATCAACCAAGTGTTCAAGTGACTGAATTAACTGAAGATAATATAAAATTTGTTATTGAAAATACAGATTTAAGTGTAGCTAATGCGATCCGTCGTGCTATGATTGCTGAAACACCAACAATAGCTATTGATTCTGTACAAATTGATTCCAATACAACAGTTTTATTTGATGAATTTCTTGCTCATCGTATTGGTTTAATACCGTTATATAGTGAAGAACTTGTTGATAAAATGAATTATCATCGTGATTGTTCATGTGAAGGTTTTTGTCCACAATGTTCAGTTGAACTTACACTTGATGTAAGAAATAGAGAAGATCAAACAAGAAATGTGAGACAATATACGTATACAAATAAATTTATTTATTTTAAATATATTTAATATTAGGTTACGTCAGCTGATCTTATAACAAGTAATCCACATTTAGTACCAGTAACATCAAAAGCTAAAAATGACGATGAAGGACGTGATAATTTTGTTGATCGTAAGTCTTTTTTTCTTCATTTAATCCTTTTTCCTTCGTTCATGACTGAAGTGACCATTTGTAGAAGGGTTTCAAAAAATAAAGGAAGCATGAAATTTGAAAAGGATAAGAAGATTTTTTTTTTCATCTCTGCATTTTTGAAATATTGAGCCTACAAAATCGATAATTTTGAAAAAATGAAAAAACATCGAATTTTTCGAAACAAATGGTTCTTTTTTACCTACAGTGAATTTAGATCTTTCGGAATATTCGTGTGACATAAATTGATGAAGAAGTCCACTAGTGAGTTAGAGATGTTTCGAAAGCTTCACAATAACTCGATGAATTACACTTACTAAGATATATTATTGACCATGGAGTCATTTTTAGACGGCTAGAAGGCAGCCAAAAGCAAATTTAATAAATGTATTATAAATCTCAACTCATGAGAAGTTGACAGAATATTTATTATGAATTAAATATTTTCAGACATTATAAAAAAAATGGGTCCAAGAAAAGTAGATGCTTATTTAGCAAGATGTGTCGAAAACATCTGTGTTCTTTTGATATTAAGTTTTATCGGTGCACTCCTTTCTTTTTTTCTATTACTCCAATAACATGAGGTAATTGTTGCTTTTGCCGACTCAATAGTATACTCAAAGAAAAAAAAAATCAAGACTAAATATATCGTCCAATTCCTCTTCTTCACGACACAGTCACTATACTAATCAAACTGCTCTACACAAAGAAATGAACACTGAGTGGATAAACCATATAATTGACATATTAGGCAGGCTAATAGCTTATTTATAAAGTTGTTTTATCTGTGGCTCTTCTAGAACAGCTGTGGGGGGTAAAGGATTAATTAAAAAGTTAAAATTATCTACATCATTGATGCATGAATTCACAAAATCTCTTATGTTATTGAATGAAAAGAAAAAAATCTCAATTAAGTAGTGATATACAGAGTAATGTTTTTCGTATCCGGTACCTTAACTGTGAAAAATTGTTTAATCCTTGCGCTATCCTGCAGCATACTTACCAGGTCTCGAAATCAGCCCACTTTTCTTATATTCTAGTTCAATTTAGAATGTCACTATTAAAAGCGTAGTTCTTTTACGAAAAAGGTTTCTGCATGATAGAATTTCACCATCACTACAATATTCATTAGAACATTGTAAAAAGTTTATTATTAAAATGATCACGAATTGACTAAAGGTTGAATAATTCTAATGCTTGAAAAAACAAAATGCGAAAAGAAAAGTTCAATTACTTATTGAACCGAAAGATCAAGATGCGTTCGCGAGTACTGCAAATTCTTGAAAACTATCATTTATTAACCTAAAATTTCATGAGTAAAATGCCCAGTGATCAATTTCAAAGAGTGAGATCAGTTACTATTTTAAGTTACACTTAATTTTAGTATAGAGTTACTACTGTTTCACTTCAGTAACATTCATGGTATTTAATGCAGTTTATGATTGTAATCAGATTTTTTTTTGTTTACTTAGATGATAAATTTTTACTCCTAAATAATATAAATTCTATTTAGATATTTTAATTGTTAAACTTCGTCAAGGTCAAGAACTTCGTTTAAAAGCTCATGCTAGAAAAGGTTTTGGTAAAGAACATGCTAAATGGATTCCAACTTGTGTAAGAGATTTTCTATACTTTTTTAATTAAAATATAAATAAACTAAATCATCTAGGGTGTTTCATTTGAATATGATCCAGATAATAGTCTTCGTCATACGATTTATCCAGTACCTGATGAATGGCCACATTCAGAACATTCTGGTAAAGATAAAAGAACAATAGATTCTATTTATTTATTTTTTTTGTAAAATACAAAATGAGATTCTATGATATGAAATTTAGAATTATCTGAAGATAAACATGAAGCACCATTCGATGCAACTAAAGTACCAACTAAATTCTTTTTTAATGTTGAATCAACAGGTGCACTAAAACCAGAAACAGTAAATTTTCTTTTTGTTGTTATATCAGTAAATGATTATTTATTTATTTTAGATTCTTTTGTCTTGTTTAAATGTTCTGAGACAAAAATTGAGTAATTTACAAACACTACTTAAACATGAAACATTAGAAGGATTATAAATAAAAAAAATGTTCAGTTTATTATTTGTTTCTCTTGTTACTTTTTTTTGTTTTATTCTAGATAAATGCAAAATTATTTCAATTTATTATCGAGTTTTTTCTTTTGTTTCTTAATTAAAATCTTCACTTAATTTTTGTGTATTTATTCATGTTTAATCATTTATTATTATTTATCTTCACATCTTTCATTTTATTTTATATATACGTCATGTTGAGGAACAGTAAGAGAAAAAGTATAGATCTACTTTTTCCTTTTTGATCAGTTGTTTTTTTTTTTTGTATGAAATAGATGTCCGATCGAAATTCTGATGGACAATCACCGATTTTAAATCGGCCATTAATGATAAATGGACATGAACAAATTAATGAAAATAAACAAAGCAATAATGATCAACAATGTATCAAATCAGCATCAAAGCCAGGTACTAAAGTTGCTTTATTTTCAAGCTAATTCGACGTTTCTTAAATAAAATCTATTTCTGCAGTCTGTTTATATATACTAGCCAAGGATACACGTACACGTTTTCTTTGTTATAAACAGAGATAACGAAGTTCTTTTAAATACTGTATTAAGGAAAAAAAAGAAGTTCTACTTTTTTCGTTTGACAACTAATTACCTATTGATAATGAAACAGATAATAATCGAAAAAACGTATTCTTATCTGCTTCTTTTTTCTCATGTAATCAAAGACAGATTAGAGAGTAGAAGAAAGAAAAATGTTAAGTATTCTATAAGGCAATAAATTACATTTACGATTTTGCCATTTAAAATTTCATTTTACTATCTTACAAATAAAGTGTACTGCGCACACTGTGATTTTTGAGTACAGTATGAAACAGCGGATATATCGAGAGTAGAGACTTGCAGAGTCGAACTTTTTGACTCCAACCCCGAGAAACTTCGAAGATTTTTTTTGACTAGTATACATAATTCTTTTTGTCATATTTGTTAATGAGAATGTCACTGCAATGACTTTTTTTTCTTTAAACTTATTCATGTATGCAAACAGTTGTCTATTATTGTTCGTTATTTAGCATAGATAGAATAAAGAGTTGCCACTATGTAAACATGGACTACTTCATTATTTTAATCATGTGACTCCGAAAAAAAATTTTACGATTACTCTGACTCCGTTGAAATCGGGTTTCGAAGTCTCATGCAAGACTCTAATCGAGAGGAGCAGATCTTCTGTATACTTTGCCTATAGATACTACATAGTATTCTCATCAAAACTCCAAAAAAGATTTCGGTTTCTATTGATATATGACTAGACTACCGAATTTTTAATATGTCTATTTTAGACTAGCTTTCATAAAAAACTCATAAGTTTTGAACAAAGTCGCTTGAAGATATGACACGTTCTCAATGCAGACCCTTTTCTATGGAAAGTGTGTGTATACATCATGTATTTTTTTTGAAAATCTCATAATTATTTCAAAAAGACTTGTTTTAAAACTACTGAACTTTTTTATGCAAATCATTCTAGTTTATTATTATCCGCTAAAAATAATGCTTGATAATAGAAAGTATAATTATCATTCTTATATTTCCTGTTCATGCATCTTGCTTATTCATTCATGTGATTAGCACATGGAATCTATGGATGACACTAAACATAGTGAGAGAGATTGGAATCATCTGAAAATTTAAAGGATATCAATGAATAAATACTGTTGTATATGATATTATCTAATTTATAGAAGAACAAACAACTATAACATATCTACGTGAACAAGCACCTGTGCCATCTACAGATGAACAATTAAATTCTTCGAGAATTTTTTCAAAAGAATTAGGTCGTCCACGTTCAAAAACAACATCTACAGATACATCTGATACTGAGTCAACAAATAATTCTTCTCAAGTATCTATATCAGCACCAAGTAGTCTTCATTTTTTTCAATCAATAAAAGATTTAACACATCAAGAATTATATCGTGCTAATCCGTTAGGTCTTCTTGGTAAAGAAATTATTTCTGTAACAGGAACAACACATTGTCCTGAACCCATACCACCTAATGATGATGATGATGATGATACAATTGTCAATTCAGATAATAATACATCAAGAACTTTATCTGTATCATCACATAGATTATCATTAATAAATGAAAATAAACCACAACAAATACATTTTCCATTAAATGAAGAAGAAAAACTTAATATGATGAGGCGTCGTTCAACATTAGGAAATACAAATGAAATAGTGCTTCCACCATATCCTGTTGAATATATTTCAAATTCAAGTTCTAATGATAATCTACAATCACATCTTTTTTCTCAACCATCACCTAATACAATGGTTGCAGATTTTATACCAAATACAATGACAATTAATGTTTTTGAAGTTTTTATTTATGCTTGGGGTGTATTTGCATTCTTTTTCGATATGGTTACTGATCTTGTTTTAGCACATGCTTATTATTTAGAAGGTGCCTATTGGCTATTTATATTAACATTAATGTGTGTTATTGTACCAAATTTAACATTATCGATATTTTCACTTGTTTGGTATATTGATAGTAGTCAATTAAAAGCAGCTGCAAATGAAAAACAAACAACAACACAACGTTATACATCAATATGTGAATCAACATCATCTGATGATATACTTGAAAAAGATCAACAACGAAATAATAATAAAAGTTCAGAATTAGTTCCATTAAATCAAAAACAAAATTCATATGGTCAAACGAATGATTGTCATGAAGACGATCAAAAAGATGCACATTTATCATGTTTAAAATCAAATCTAAAAATATCAGAAAAAGATGTACAACAACAACGACAAGATTTCGTTCAAGAAAAATATTTTAAAATCTCAGCTGCAACTGCAAATATTTTAGCGTGGATTATTCGAATTATTATACTTGTACTACAATTAGATTTATGTGTGAAGTAAGATAGAAAAAAAAAATTTAATTAGTTTTAAAATGTAGAAATCAAAAGTATAAGTCTGACTAGAAGAAATTAGAAAATCACACTTTTGATTCACTTTGAAATAAAATCTTTGGGAACGAATCATTTGCTTAACTATTGTTGAGTCATCAGAGTTGAATATTAGTAATTCAAATGCAAACTCTAATAATGACTAAAGTATGTTGAAGTACAGTAACAAAAACTTGAATCACCTCTTCACAGATTGTGATAGACGCTAGCCAGAAACGATGACAGGCGCTGCGCAGAGATCATCACAGATCATGGCAAGCGCCGTAATAGACCGTATATCAATAAAATCTCATTCTCAAATATAAAATATTTCCCAATTGCATTTCCGGACGATTAAGTAAGAGAATGATAAAGAAATGTATCTCGAAATAGAATCCAACAATTTCTCTGTGGTTAACAAAAGTAGCTGCATTGTATTTTTATATTTTAATCTCTTGAACATTGCGCTAACAGTTTTCAATAAACATATGATTGATTTAGATATATTCGTGGTTTATATTATACATGGAAAGGTTTTCAAAAACGTCATAATCCAAAATGGCAACGTTTCTATTTAACTAAACAAATATTAATTGATGCTGATATTGCTTTATTACGTGTATTTGATTGTTTTATGGATTCTGGCTCACAAGTAACATTACAATTATATATTATGTTACGACTTGGTTCAACATCAATGAAATGTAATTATGATTGATTATTGATTTTAAAATTTCGTATATTTTATATGTTCTAGTTGATACTTTATTTTTAAAACAAACTTTATCAATTGTTTCATCACTTGGTTCATTAGCATATGCACTTAGTGGTTATTCACGATGTTGGCGACATATGCAATTAACACATTCACCACAAGATTGGCCGAAAGGAAAACCTGCACCACAATTAGTATCTTGGTGGGGTACAATTATTCAATGGGTATAAATCATAGAAAGGATTTTTTTGTTTATTTTCTTTTGTAATGAATCATAAAATTTTTCTTTTCATTAAGTTTTGGTATTTATTTTTGATAACCCCAAGAGTATTGGCACTTGCCATGTTTGCAGCAACATTTCGTTCATGGTTTTGGATTATAATATTTTCACATTGGTTTTCAATGCTTTTTTGGATTCTTCGTTTTGTAAATAATTTTTCTATTAATTATATCAGTGTAAAAAATATTCTATTTTCTTTTTGTAGCGTACAATTTTCTGTATTAGTGATCAAACAAAATACAATCCACGAGAAGCAATTTTTGAAAAATGCTACAATCTTGTTTGTTCATATATATTTATATTTTGTTATATGGTAAATTTTTATAAGAAAAATTATATGATAAACGAGAGATTTAATATAAGTAAAGAAATCTCTCGCTGGTTGCTAAAACGTTTTTGACTTATTATTAGATACGACACACCTACAAATGAAATACTCTGACTTCAGTTTAGTACAAGTTGTGACTAGGAAGAGTTATGAATTTCTAAGTGACGGACAATATTTTCAATTTAGCTCCTGAATATTAGTTTTCTTGAAGAATCAAAAATCAAGTTGACTATAGTTTTTTCTGTATTTATTCCAAGCAGAGGCTTGAATCATTGAAAAGTTGCAAGTTAAAATCGAAATAATTACTAAATTCAGTTTACTTCATTCAATCTCTATCCTTTTGAGTAAGATAAAGTATGTTGTTTTCTTTTTCAGATTTCCGAACGACAGGTTTTTCTTTGATCTCCTGTATTATCGTAGACATTCCATAAAAACTGGAACACCTAATAAAGAAAAAAACACAAATTTGTCTAAATTCACTCGTCTTTGTTTGTTTGATATTTATGAAGATGTAGAGAAAAAAAAAGAGATTAACCTATATTTTACAAAGTTTTTTATAGGTCAATGAGATGAGAAGGAAAGAAGTTAACATTTTTTTATAAAAGATATATGTTATTTTTACTCCAGAATATTATGAAACTTTTTGTCATTAAGCAAAGAAATATGACATCGACAAGATTAGGAAGCACAACCTTCTTTCTCGATACATACTCATCCTTTTGGCCTAATACTTTCCCATGACTAAAACCAATGTTTGTAATAAATTTCATTGGATTCCGTCTTTGATTTTTCGAGAACACTAAGATTCAGAAGCGTTATTGGAAATATTGCTTATAACTTAGATATTCATAACTCAGGTCAATGATTTCGACATCTGGATCCGTGATTTTCTGGCTGGAAAACTTGGGAAAATGATAGAAAATTGAAAGCGGAAAACCAGTAGCCGAATTTTTCTAGTTCCCGGCAAAACTGGCCACCAGATTTCGGCTTGTAATTTTCTACCGTTTTCCGACAGGAAATGGCCTATACACTTAATCCTCAATCAACAAGAGTTTTAGCATTTTCGGAGATGCTTGTCTAAGACATGTTTTCCTTTTTTCTTTTTTAGAATCTTCGAAAAGGTGATACTCGTACACATTATATTAGTTTTTATACAATCTATTATATAGAAAATATTGCTTTTTCAATAATATATGCAATACACTCAGCTGAATCAAATACAATATTTAAATATTCACTTGTAACATTTGTTTGTTGTGGTTTTTGGTTAGCTATTTTATTTCAATTTCTTTATTATCGATTTTTACATCCAAGTGATCATGTACGTCTTAGTATGAAACAAAACGTATCATCATTTGTACATATACGAGCATTACCTTTATCAAGTCGCATAGAAAAATCGAAATCATGTGAAGAAATAATAAAACATAATGATATGCAAAATCAAAATGAAAATAATGAACTTATTGAAACACAATCACAAATAGAAACATTAATTGATGAACGTTGGTATAATCGTTTTGCAAAACGAAATCGGCAAAAACTTATTTCACAACAACAAGCTATTGATGAAAAAGTTCGAATAACTCGAGCACAAAAGCAATATCAAGAAGCAAATAGGCAGCAACATGATACATCAGATGATTTTTTACAAAGAATATCAACTTTGTTTAAACGACCAACAATAAATTCAACGTCTAGAATAATGAAATCTTCTGATAACACAACTATTAATGATAATCAATTAAATGATCATCAACAATTTTTTCATGCATCATCTGAATCATTACCTAAATCACAATTTCAAGAATTTGATACTAAAATAAATCAAGATGAAGAAGATTTTGATAAATCACATGTAGCTTTTATATCAAATAAACGAACACCACAATATCAACGACAATCAAAATTATATAATATTAATGAAGATATACATTTATCAGATGAAAATCAAAATAATACATCGTTACAGACAAATAATACGAAATATGAAGGTGGAGGAGGAGAAGAAATGATTTTAACTGCTGCAAAACTTGCATCTCATGAATTGCCTTGTTCTGCTAATAACAATTAAATACTATCATTAATTTTGTTAACGATAAATATAGGGTTAGTTAGTTTATTTAATCTACAGAAATTATTTATAATACAGGTTCTTATATTTTGCTTATTGGAATTTCTTAAAGAATTTAAGATTTGATTTTGTCTCATAGAGAACTATTGTTTAACAAACTATGAGAGATCAATCGGTTTGTTCATCGACAATTGAGATAATATTGACCAATAGCTGAGATATCAATAATATACCGAGTCATTTTTTTGTTTTCACCTAAACTCTTTTGTTTCTCAGTATTGAGATTATTCTTACTTTTTCCAACACACGAAACAACCAAAAACTTCAAAACAGTTCACCTAAATGTCCTTTTTTCGTCTTACCAAAAATCTAAAAATTAATTTTGATGAGTTCTATGTTCATCAAAAAAACAAGTTGTACATTGTTGAATTTGAAAAAAATTATCATTTGATTTATTTTTGATTATGCTCTGCTTTCCTTATAATTTGCTCTTAACCGTTAATTCATTTTTCTTCATTCTTAAAAACTCATTGTTCTAATTTTTTATTTTAATTTCTTTTGTAGGATTATTAAAATAGCAAATGATGATAAATATATATATATATATATATATATTTATTTGCTCATTTCGTGTTTACACAATCGTAACACTGATGCATTATTTAATCATCTGGCTTTTTTTAACTTGCCATCCAAATCTAAACATACATTTTACGCAATTTGGTTTTTGTCCAATTATTGATTATTTGCTCGAGTATTTTGTATAACAGTGAATACATATCTTTGAAATGAAAACTCAAACAAGAGACATTATCGATTTATTTGTCTTACCTCAATGAATAAGCATATATCATTTAATTAATTGTGATTGTTTTGTTTTTCTTTTCTTTTCTTTTTTTGAATCTCCTTGTGTTCTTTGTCTTTTTCATCATGAATGATTTATTTAGATAGATGAAAACTTAAGTACGACTGTTTATTAAACTTATCCGTTGGCGGAATATTTTTTGTCTTAGCTTATTATCAAACGAGCTGAATATAGTCAGCTACTTGTATTCTAGTCATAATTTTGCTCAGTTGGTAAGTCTTCTGACGAATATCGATTTCGATTTATACATTTGTTTGTTTTTCTTTGTCTTTATCATATATTTGTGTGAATTCCGTTTTGTTTTTTTGTATACATTTGTGTGTATTAGATGAAATAGATGTGAAAACAGTTTTCTGTTGGGTTAGATTTTATTTAGTACACACATTAACTTATATCTTTTCGATTTGTATTCTTGTTAATTATAATGTTGATTCACAAAAGAAAGTAAAATAATAATTTTATTTGCATTTTGCAATAAAAGAAAAATGAAATTTTTTCACATAAATTAATAAATAAAATTTAGATTGCTAAGAAATAAAACAATAGAAAAGAAAATGAATCATCAAATGGGTTTATTACGTCAACATGAAATTCGTGCTTCACAACAAGTTGCACAACAACAATCAACTCAATCACTTGGACGAATACAAGAATATAGTTCAACACCACCACAACAATCACAACGTAGTGCACAAGCAACAAATATGTTTATAACACGTATACTTGATGAATGTGGACTTGAAATAAAAATGGCTGACGAAGAAAATATGAATAACAACGATGAATTACATGTGAGTTAGAGAATTGTAAATTAAAAAAATGCTACGAGACAGTTTTCATATCTATATCGACCAATCATTTATTGAAGTCGTGAAAGACATGAATGCTTTCAAAACAATCACAAATCTGTAATTTTATCAACAAACCATTCGAAGAATAGTATTAATACTCGTAATATATCGTTTGTTTTATGAGTCAATAGTCAGTTTACGGAACAGTTCAGACCAGTGGTGTATTCAGCCATATACAATTGCACACGGCTCGACAAGTTATTGCCCATGAAGTTTTTGAAAATAGTGACAATTGCTCATGATTGCCTGCTCCTCAACACAGTTTGACTAGTGAATGACTGGACAAATAAAAAATCACTGACTACGCCCCTGAATCTGACTGTGGTAACAAGTACAGAAAATAAATGTCTACTGTTAAACATTCAAAAGTCCTGTTGTTTTTTCTTAATCTTTATATACGACTAATCGCATCTAGATCTGAGTGGGACCAGTCATTTTACATCCTGGTTCTACCGGAACTATCGTGTCCATATCTAATCATACCTCTTGTACAAATAAATATCATTAGTTTCTTGAACATTATATAGGAAAGGGTAAGAAGGTCCGTGCAAAACGTCTTGAAAATTTAGTTCATTTTATTATTGGATGAAAATTTTTCGAAAACAATTTCTTAACATAAGTTAGGGATAGAGATAGGCTTGGTTCGGTTCCAAAACAACACGAACCGATCCCATTTCAGCTATATATGATGAATTATATGATAATGAAAATCATAGAGTTGAAAAATGGACGAAATCATTCGAAGAATTATTGTATTAAAAGCTAATCCATTCTTTAAGTAACTAGATTTCATATCCTGTTTTGTATAATACAAATGAAAATGGTACTCAGAATATAATATAGATTCGAAGAAAATTGTCTCAAGTCAAATAAAAGCAGCATTTCTTAATTCATTAAAAATTTTTTTTTTTTTTTATTTAGCTTGAACTTAAAGTCGATCAAGGTATATTGGCCAAACGTTTATCACAACGTTTACGTTCGTCATCAAATACTACTAATAATAATGCAACAACAACAGCAGCAGCAGCATTACCACCAATATCTTTAAAACAATTTGAAAGTGAATTAATATCCTTCTTTTCCAATGATTCTATATTTCGTTCATCTTTACTTCCAACATCAAGTACCGATGATGTTTCACCACTTCGTTCTCAACAACAAGATAGTCTTATGCGTATATTATTATGTGTTGATGAATTACAAATGTTTTTAGCTAAATATTTACTTAAACGTCTTGTTCGTTTTGATAATAAAGGTGGTGATCGTGTTGTTGTACAAAATTTACCATTATCAATGATACGGCTTATATTACAAACATTTCATTATCTTCCAATAGGAAAATTAACAAATGCTAAAGAATTACTTTATTTTTATTTAGATGTTATTGATTTAGTTATGAATAATGATGTACGTTGTCAAATGATATCACTTGTAACAGATATTTTTTGTGATGATTATTTACAAATGAATATAGTTACAAAATTGGAAGAAAAACTTGATTCAACTAATATTGATGTTATTAAACAAGTTTTATCAACATTAACAACAATACAAATTGATGAATCAATTGAAAGACGTATACGAGAAAAAATTATTCCGATGATTATGACAGGTATTTTAGATGTTAAAGTTGAATGTTTTAATTATTTATTTGAAACATCAACAAAAATTAATATATTTGAAACAATTTTATTATTTCGTGATGTTGCTACTGTATCTGGTAGAAGGTAAATGAAAAATATCTAGATAGTTTAGAATAGTCATTTTTTTTTCTTGAAATATGATTTTACTTAATAATGAAAAATACATTAAATATAAGTCATATTTAGATAAGATTAAAGCTGTTTGTGTCAATGGAATTTATTTGTTCAATGTTTGAAGATAAAATGATTATTAATTGATTCGAAAAGCGAATTCTAAAAGATTAAAATAGGAAGTATAATCGAGATTATTTTCAGGGACTACAAAAGAAAAAAAAATAGGAGCAGTGGAATGTTTTTGAAATGATATGAAATTCAATCAAAGTTTATTTTTTTGTTTTAATCAGAAAAGTACTTCAACTAAACAAGAAGAAGACCATCCTTGCCATTCGGCTACTTTACGATATGAGGTGCTGCGATTGAGCTTCTTCTCATACACATTGGCTAATCACGTCCTAGCCATAAGAGCAGGTGTACGTCATAATGTAATTAGCATACTATCGGATGGGTGGTTCGAGATAAACAACCGTTAGTGACTTTTCTAAGATTATTTCATGGCTTGTGGCACTGAAATTTGAACATTATATCTTGTGAATACATGCCAAACAACGTGGACATTCAACCATGATGGTCCGTTCTCCAACTGATAAATCGCTATGGAGTCGAGGCTATTTGCATTAATCGTGAACCAAATGAGCTATGAATACTCTGAAAAGAGTTCGCCCCTTTATCTTATTTCTATCGAAAGACTACACTTCTACCGTAGTTTTTAAATGAATTCCGTGGTCTCACTCAGAAACAACAGAAAAAAAAATGATTTCCTAGTTTTGTCTTGAAACTTTGCATAGAAATAGGCCTGAATAAGAATATTTTTTTTTAGTGATTCAGATCTTGACGTTCTTTCGATTTTAAGATACAACTATAGTAATGGTGTGTCTTTTACATCTCTCATATAAATCGCCAGATTGAATATTCTTATTTCGAGATAGAAGCAAATCATAAGATCTGCAACTTTCACAATAAACTATTTTTAAGTAACCGAAAAATGAGTGAATATTTTCCTGTTTTATTTATCTTTCTCTAGTATAAAAAGTTCTATTGATTATATATTTTATTGGAGAAAATTCATACGGAAAAATATTTCTTATTTGTTTAGATCTGATCGTTTAACATGTTTAACAACAGATAATTTTCAACCAGTACACAGTCTTTTCGAACGATTTGAACATTATTTTCATTCATCACGTGTTCTTTTTCGTACATGTCAAGAAAAACATCCAATAACTGCTGATTTATGTTTAAAAATCAATAGTTATTTTTTATTTGATTTTTTTATNAAATTACAGGTCTCATAGGAAACAGTTTGATTTAAAAACTTAATTATTTCTCGACAACGTCAAATGAAGTTTTTCTCATAATGTATAATATTCTGTTTTATATAATCTGCTTTTGTAGAGAGCTTACAAAACTCTAATTGGGTATGAAATGTGAGATGTCATTAACTTCAATTACTGAAAACAAAAATCTAATTTTTCGAAATCATTTATTAGTTATGAACACTTTTTGCCTTAAAAGACTTAGAAAAATGTCGATTTTGAACTCAATCAATAACTTAACTATTAAGTTTACACGATATGTTGTTATCACCCTATACTGAAAACAAAATCAATACAAAACTTTTGCATCCTCCATTACAAAGAGCATACCGATGAAGAAAAAGCTCTAAATCATTTGGTGGAATATTATATTCAAGTAGGAGAATATGAATAATATTACTGAATGAAATCTACGATTGGCCATTGTCTTTCGTCTTAAGAAGGTATCTGAATAGTTGACCAATAGTTATAGTCATGAGAAATCAAAATCGTACAGACTAAATATCACTTCTCAGTAGAATCTTATTGATATTTACTGTTCATCTTAAACTAATATTAGTGTTCCACCATCATGTATTCATGTTGAATTCATTCGCTATAGCTATAATAAATCAATTTATATAAAAGTATTATTTTTTTCAAACATTATTAAAATTTATGATACACAACTAGCTGTCCGTATTGGAATCATCTTAAATAACAAATACTCGAAGCTTTACTAAACATCAGAATTTGAATTACTTTTGTTTTTATTTTAAAATTCGTTTTAAATAAATTCTTATTATTTCAAGACTTTTATTTCGTACAATTGAACTATTATGGAATATACTTGAAGAAGGTACCGATGAACAAATTTGTGATCAATTGAATTCACGTGTTACTATGAGGTTTATTATTTAAATATCTACTTCATTTAAATATCTACTTTATTTAAATATTATTCTTATTTAGTCTTCTAAAAGAAGCATTTTTTGGTCAAATTACGCAAAGTCATTGTCAATATCATCGTCAATTAAGGTTAGAATATTTATTTAATGAAATAAACTAATCAAAAATTATATTTTTGTTTTTTGTTTTAGAAATGATATTCTTGTTGTTTGTTCTCTTATTCTTAATATTAATCCTAATTCTCCAGGTACAGAAACTTTTTTTTTTTAATCTGTTCGATGGAATTTGTTTTTTTCAAGTCATTGAAACCGGTTTCGCTAAGCAATTACTTTTGTTTGCCTCTTATCCTGAGTGTAAGTAAAATTCGAAAAAAAAAATCAATTTCTAATAACTTATTTCATATTCAGTACGTAGTAATAGTCCATTAGTAAAAAATTTTAAATTAACAACATATGATGAAGATTTTGAATTTAAAAAATTAATATTTAATACAGTTGTTATACTTAATCGTAATCCAATGATGAATGAAGTATGTTTCTATATAATTCGAAATTGTTTTGTTTTTTTTTAAATAATTTTTCTTATTAAAGTTAGTGACTAATAGTCGAATTTTACTTGCTTTGTTATCTTATATTGAACCTTTGCCAAGAAAAAAAGATCATGAAACAAATACATTTGAATGGAAAATATCACAATTTGAAGATCTTCAATTACATGCTCTTGCAGTTCTTTCAATTCTTTTACCATATTCATTAAATGAATATTTTGAATATGGTGTTGGTACAAGACTTTTAGTATTTTATGAATGGACAATAAATAATGGTAATAAAAAAAAGAAAGATCTATTCATTTTGTTTAACTGTATATTGTTTTCTTTCCTTATTAAGAGGAATATAACAGTGAAGGAAACAGTTTTTTTGCTAAAGGTGGTCGAAATAATAAACGATCACAATTAAAATATATACTTCGATTATTTCGTAGTCTTATTTCAACAAAAGATGAACGTATTTATATTGATTTATGTGATCAAGGAATTATTTCATCGATTACTGGTTTGAAGAAAATATTTATCTTTTATTGATTTCTTTTTCTTCATTTTTCTCTTTCGTTTGTTAAAGGACATTTGAGAGTTATGACTCAAAAAACTTCAATTCATATGGATTATGTAGATTTAGATATTATTTGTGATGGATTGTTTATTTTAAGTTGTTTAGGTGAATTAGATGTACATAGAAAAGTAAGGAGAAGAACTTCTCTCTAATGTGCTTTTAAATTTAAAAAAAATTCTTTTTTTTTCCTTTAGGAAATCTTTGGTTCTGAAGGTATCGAAATGTTAATTCAAATACTATCGATTGAATCTCCTTATGTTTGTGGTGGTCTTGGTTATCATCGTTTACTTGTTGCAGCGATTGATTGTGTATGGTGTTGTGTTGTCGGTAGTGTTATAAATGAAGACGAATTTATTCAAAGACAAGGTGTTTTTGCTCTACTCGATTTAATCGAAGTAAAAACCTAAAAAAATTCTTTATGCTAAATTAAATAAAAAATCTGTTACTTTTTTTAAATAGATAAATCCCAAATCTTTACAAAATATCATTCTTGGTTGTGTATTAGATTTAACAGAAAATACAAAATGTCTTCATTTTATAATGACATGGCAAGGGCATAAACAAGAATATTTTACACATGTACTTTGTGAATTATGGCGAGATGAAGAACGTGAAACTTATGTAAAAATTAAACTTATTTTATTTTATTTTATTTTCTATTGTTTTCTTTTTTTTTCGTTTAAAGGTTGCTCGGACAGAAAAAGGTGTAATTAGTGATCATACAAAACCATTAATGGGTCTTCTTCAACAATCAGTACCATTAACACCACTTAAACGTTTTGAACCATCACGAGCAGTTTTAGATTTAATTGATAATATGCGATCTAAAATTTACGGATTTTTTTGTAAATTAGGTTTTAGTGAATTACCTGGTTTACACGAGGAGGATTATATTACAATATGTATAATTGAAAATTTTCTTGATTTTAAAATGGGTGAAATATGGCAAGAAATTATGAGTGAACTTGATATGGAAGGTGTAAAATTAATTGCACCAGATGGTGAAGCAACAGATACTATTTTACGAGCAACAGAAGAACGTGCATTAGGTATGAACAAGTAAAATGTCATTGATTTTTTTTAATACATATTTATATTTAGCTGTGGTTGCAACACAAAATTATATCTTAGAACAATATCATAAACTTGATTTACAATTCGAAAAAGAGTTTTATAATGAAGTAAAAAATGAGAATAATTTGTTTTTTTTTTTGCTATATTTAAATAATATTCTTCTATTTCAAGTTAGTAAGAAGTCATACATTTCAAGAAAAACGACTTGAACAATGGAAATCATTTGTTGCACGTACATCAAAATATCCATTATTGATGGTAAAAAGAAAATTATAAAAGAAAAATTTTATTATCAATTTTGTTTTTTTTTTCTTCCTTCAGGTAGCAAAAGATTCTCAAAATCAAGCTATTCGACAATCACGACCTGAAGAAAAAGATTATTCAGGTTATCATACAGTTCATAATTTGGAAATTCCGAATATATCAATAACAGTAAGTAACAAGTGTTTTGTTAATTTTATATTGTAGATTTATCTTTTAGGCTTTTACTGGTCCGTTTTTACAAATTGAAAGTACACCAATCGAATTATTGAAAAAAAAATGACAAATGAAATGAAATGAAAGTCATAAGAAAATTTAGAATAGTTTCTATTTTCTTCAAAAAAATTAATTAGAATTATTTTTATATTTTTCTAATATATATTATTAATCATCTATTTTCAAATAATCGATTCAATACTTTCAGACTATATATACGTATCCGAAATAGAATAAAAATAAGTATAAAACTAATGAAATACTATTGTGTTTCTCTTATTACAATATTTTCAAAAGAAACGATACCTATAAATTTTATTTCGTAATTTTAGTTTTATCAATCACTAACAGTATATCATTCCTATCAATCTGATGAAACATTTACTATTATCTTTATTTGATTGAAGATAATGAATATTTTCTTTCTTGCTCCATGTTTTGATTGTATTTCTAAATGTTTCTTTGTTGTTATCCGTTAGATTTGATTGTAAAAACAGTCATTGTTTGTTGTGGAGAAAAAAGATAATTTTTCAAAAGACGATTTAATGAATAATCATTTAAAAGATATCGTTTTGCTCTATTATGATTGAATAATTGACCATTACTTAATTGTCTTATTAAATTCAATACGGAATAAGTTGTTGAATTTAAATTAGTTAATAAACCTTTTGATTGTATAGAACAGATAGGTGCTAATTGTAAAAAGAGAAATGAACCAGATAAAGATGATCGTTCACTATAAAAATTGATAATAAATATTTGATGAGCAAATAACATTTTTGTACTAAGACGATTCATTGCTATATTAATATCATCAAGAGTTCGTAATGGGATTTCACACGATGGTTGAAGAAGTATTTTTCTGCCTAGAAATAAAGTGATCTACAAAAGTTTAAGACACTTCACTTTCGTGTTTTCTATGAAAAAGAAGAAATTAAATCATATATTATGAATACTGTCTAAAGTTACAGTCGAGATCTACGAAAATCACTTATTCTAGATCTAATTGATCATTGTGTGAAGAAAAAAGAAGGAACTTCAATTAATTTCCACCATGCAAAAGTAGAGATGGAATGGGTACCAGTATGTCTTATAAATTTTTTTGCTCTTAGTATCTCATAGAAGTTGTATAATGAAACTTTGTTAAAACTTAACTATGTCAAACTCGTCAGCTCTGTTTCGGTATAAGTTTGAAACTGATCCGTCATGAAAAATGCAGACTGATTTCATCTCTGACGAAAACTTTAAGGCACTTTTTATATTTTGTTGATTATGTCATTATTAAAAAGTAGAGACAATTTTAAAAAATATACGATTAGATGCAACATTGAATGGGTTACATTTAAGTATAGAAATTTTTCAAAAACTTAATGATTACAATAATTTAATCTTAAGAATTACTAACTAGAGCTAACTTTATATGGCACTCGAAATATATCTTTTACTTCCTTTCTATTCAAAGAAAACGCCGAAGTAAAAAGTGTCTTAGAATTTTTACAGACCATTCTAAGTAAGGATTACGATGAGAATAAACTTCTTTTTAAATATACCTGTATCAATCAAACGTAGTCGTTGCATATTAATAATATCACAAAGAGAATTATTAAAAAAAGCTAAATTCATACATGTTAATTGTATTGAATCATATTCAAAAATCTTTTTAAGAGTATTTGATAAAGTTGTATAAATATAATGAAGAAATGATGATCGATATTGTTCTGATTGTTTATGATCATCAATAAGAATACAAATTGATCTATAATCATTATTACATGTTAATATTAGTTGTGAATCAATAAGTTGTTCTAAAAAAGTATCATGATTGTTCAATAATGTTTGTAATTTTTTACATGCTGTAGAGTTTTTTGATGCTCTAGCTATTATTATATGATCGTATGCTTTATATTGACAAGTAACATCAGATCTATTTAGATGCAAATTAATAATCGATTGTTGTTGTCGATGACATGATGTGTCATATTTAATTGTATTACTTTGACTAGTCAATAAATAATTATCAAGTTGTTTGTAATCATCAGTTGTCGTCATGAGTGATGATGATGATGATGATGATGATAAATGCGATGAAGCATGATGTTCAGATAGGTTTAACTGAGAAATTTTTGTTTTTTTTCGATGATATAGACGTTGAAGAAAATTATAGATACGTTTTTTATTTTGATATTGTCGCCTTGTTCGATATAATGTTCGATAGAGATTTATTTTAAAATGAAATAATTTTGATGTTTGATAAGTATATGATGGTAAATAGTCAATGAATGCTAACGAATGATTTCTTTGGTTGTATGTTAATTGTTCATTGTTATTATTATTATTATCATTGGTAGAATATCTGAAATTTATTATTATTTTTCTTTGAAAAAAATAATGAATAATCTTAGATTTCATATGTGCATTTTATATTTACAGCATTCTTTCTTTATAATTTGTCTTACTTGATAATATGAATGTTGGAATTATTGAAGGATTTTTTATGGATCTTAAGTTGTGTATTAGTATGTTCAAGGTTGGGGGTACACAGAGGTCGACAATGTTGTTCATCTTTTTGATCAGATGATGCCGATGTTAAGCTAGTGCCATCGTTAAAGAGGGAAGCCGCTGGAGTAATAGATTCATCTAAATCGACAACATCACAAGTGTTGATACATTTGAGAGGTGATGATATTAAGATAAATTCTTCGGGTTGTTCTTCATTCGAATGAATCTTTTCATTTATTGACGTAGAATTAAGTTTGTCTTCTTTAAAATCATCATGTAATTCACCTCCATCGAATTCAATAGTAGGTATATCGAGTATTTTTTCATGATATTTATGATCAATTGAAATTTGATGGATAGACTGTGTCGATGAAGTTTTTTCTTTCGATAATAATTCTTTATTTAATTGAATTTTATTGTCAAGAATTATTTGTTTGACATTCGAAATATTTTCTAATGAATGTTGTATGTCTGTGTGACTTTCATTTGTTTTAATTAAATATGAAAGTGTATTTACTTGACAAGTTCGTGTTACATTTGTTAATGTTCGGTCTTCAATTTTAGCTTGTTTCATTATATTTAATGGACTTTTTGGTAATAGAATAGCAAACAATTTAGTTTGTGTTCCTCGATTTACATATTTTTCTAAGAACAAATCTTTATTTAGTTCGATTGCATATTGTGATGATAATGAAATGTTTGAATAAAATTTTCTTGAAATACTTTTTAAAAAATTTGGTTGTGAAAGAAAAGGCAGAGATATTGAACTAATTGGTGAATGATCTTCTATATTTGATTGCAATGAATTTTGTTTAATATTATCATCTTGTACAAGAATGATTGACTTTTAAATAAAGATAAAAATCACAGAATTATTACATTTTATATGATGTTGTAGATGAAATGAAAAACAATCGATCGGTATTTTATTTATGTCTCGAGTATTAAATTGAAGAAACTCATACCGATTAAATCATAGTATATTAGTAATAGAAAACCGAAACTGCTTAAATGGAAATGCCGCCTTTGTCATGGGCTATCTTCCTTGTCTGGGAGTTTTTCTTTTGTTGAACTATTACTTTGTTGAGAATGATGTGACAATATGTGAGATAACACAGAAAGGCATTGGACTTTTTCAGTTTTAGTAAATTATCAAAAATTAGTTGCTACTGGAAATAATTAGCCGTAGGGTGAGGTACAGCGAAAAAATTTTACAAAATAAAAAGTTAAGAGAGAATGAAGCGGAAATGTTAATCAGAGATATTTTGCGATGAAATATGGAGTTACTGATGTATCTTTGTGTTTTGAATGGATATTTTAGGTGAAAGTCACCTTGTTCTAAAGATAATGACTTTTTTTTTATTAATGCTAAAAAATCCAAGGTTAAGACCAGAAGATTTCATATCATAACATCATCCGCGATACAAAAAAATGATGAAACAAAAAACATTGACTGGGTACATATGTGCCATATTCTTGAATCATGTTTTGCGAATTCTTGATTATAACATAAACTTTCTCTTTTCAGAAGTTCAAATCATAGTTATAGATGCCATCATTTGTTTTTTTTATATTTTTTTATTATTTCAATAGTGTATGAAATTAAACTGATGATAAAAATTTCACTTTTTAACAGTGAATCATAGCGAAGTTAAAAGTTAAATTATCTTTCTGATATAGTATAACATAAGTGTGTCAATAAGTACTTTTCAACGGTAAGCAATCCTCGTTTATAAAATAGTTGTTTAAGATAATTTTACTTTTATTTTTTAGAAAATCTTCAGTAAATATTTAATCTTTACTCATGCAACCATAAATGAAATATAAGCCATCGAAAAAATTTGTTGAAAACGAATTTATTGGATTGTTTTTTTGATAAGACGAAAACATATGAAAGTTTTGATTTAGTGAACCCATATTTTCAGGAGACTCACGCCAAAAAATTATCTGGTAGAGTGGGACTTATCAGTCCCAATTGCTTTGAGAAGCAGATCAATGGTCACTATTAGGCATTTTTGCTTTCAAATAAGATTTAGACAAGAAATTCTCATCCTTGAGATCGGTCGAACAACATATGATTATCAGAAGTCACTATAGCTTAGCGCTTATCCTATAAATCAATTGGATTCGGCTTCCATAATGATAGATAACTCTTGAGAAGACGTTCAAATTTCTACAACAAGAAAGAATTTTTTCAAACCTTGGTTTCTGTTCGAGAACTATCAGCATCTTCGTCAAATGCTCTTGATACAAGTGGTGATTGTAAAACATTTATTGATGTCTTCTTTGTTAACATATTTATTTCATATTCAGTAATAGCACGAAGAACTTGTTCTGATTCAATTTGAATTTGAACTGTACGTTGATATTGATATGGTCCTAATCGACTGCAAAAATGATCACGAATATTAATTTTATCATGAAAAAAATCTAATGAAAACGAAATATTCGTTTGTTGGCTAACATTTTTTATTAATCGATTAGATGATAGAATATTTGAATGTTCTGTCATGATTAAAATTAATTGGCAATATGTACAATAAGTTTTTAATTGTTCAAGACATGGACATTGAATAATTGCTAATTCATATTTATGTAAACTTGTTGAACAATTGCATTCAAGTAAAATAATTTCAAATATTTTATAATGTTGATTTTGTTTTAAAATTGATAGAAAATTTTTTTTTATATCAATATATTTATACCAGGGATTAATAAGACAAATATAATTTGAACGAATGACAAGTGCATCTGTATGTTTTCGAAATTGACTACCATGTATGAAACTAATTTTTCCATTGTTATCAAAAATTTTCCAACTAGATATGAATTGTTGTTGTCGATTAAGAATCGAACGATAATTTTCAATTATTTTATATATTTCATTACGATCACTACAACAACATTGTTCATTCATTCTTGGTTGTTTTCTCTATTAATGCAAAAATAATTTACGATGAAATCTAATTCGACATTAAAAAAACTCCTAACATAGTACAATTATATTCTTTCGATGATTTTATCTTTTTTGAAACAGCTTGCTGAGTGTTCTTTTTAATTGCGCCAACTATAATCAATCAATAGATTAGAAAAAAAAATAACTAATTTTTATTGTACTGCGTTATGTTTCTGTCGTGTTTATTAACGTAAAATAAAAGAAAAAAATAATTTTGAATTCTATAGATACCAAAAATATGATACATAATCGTGAATCATTTTTCACTTCATTCCATTACAAAAAGTATATTTAGCCTCAAGAATAAGCATGCACATATTCATAGGATGTCGTAAGGCATTTTCTTTTTTTTTTTTCTTCTATAGCCTTGGAACGCTAGTTGAGAAGAAAGTAGAAGAAGAACAAATATTTGGTCGTAGTAACGACACAAAAAAGAAAAAGAAAAAGAAAAAAAAAACAAGAGAAACAACAGAAGAAGAACTACGCACACACGTCAACTGACGAGTAGTAACTTTATACTTTCATCATTCTGTTACTCTCATTGTTATATAAGTTTGTAACGTGCATCAATCGGTTATTACTTTTGCAAGTTTTTGTCTTTTTTTCTGACGACAGCTAAGCAAAATAAAAGAGAAAAATAAACGAAACGATCATGCATCCTAATCAACAATATCCCGGGCAAGGCGGAGCATCCAATGCTCCATATCCACAGCAACCACCACATAATGTAGCTGGTGCACAACGACCACAACAACCGCCTTTTGGTAATCCAGCATCTTACAGTATTGGAGCTGGTATAATGGGGTAATATATGACATTTACTATTTGTAGAAATTAAATTAACATTATTCTGAATAAAATATAGTAGATACAGGCAGGGACAAATTGAAAGTTAAATAATTATGGTTTTCACTTCGTTGTAATATTACTTATTTCATTTACAAAAATTCATTTGTCATGCTATAAACATATTGTTTCACATATAGTCAATGCAGTCATATTAACCAGTAAAAAAAAGTTTAATTATTCACATATATTTCAGTGGATAGTGATTTTTCTAGATTTTGTTTTTATTCTAAATCGTTCTGATGTGCTTTTGTTTCGACGAATAATGATGTAAGTTTTATTTTCGCTACTTTTTCGAAAGAACATCAAAAATCAAAATATATCAGAATTATTTGACACAACTAGAACGAATCTGAGTAATTTTGAAAAATAAAATTAAGAAATCGAACCAGCTTCGAAGTTTCTTACGGGTGATATAATTCATATTGAACCGAAACATATTAGTGTAGATTTATTTTAATTAATCAATCATCTTCGGTAATACATAAAATGAATTTCTGAATAAATTATAATGATAAATGAAAACTCAACTGTCTATCCATATTTCAGAGGTAATCAACCAAGTATGCCAGGACCACATGGCGGTAATCAAGGTGGATACGGAAGCTCTGGCAACCCATATGGACAAAGTTCTGGCAATCCTTATGGACAAACCTCTGGCAATCCATACGCACAAGGTTCTAACCCTCCAGGAGGCAATCCTTATGCACAAAGTAGTTACGGTATGTCTGGCGGAGGAAGTGGTCCTGGCAGCTATCCCTCCTCTGGTCAACAACCATACGGTAACAATCCATACGCTCAAAATTCCAGTACTGTAGGAGCTGGATATCCTCCTTCACAAAGTGGTGGGTACCCACCACAAAGTGGAGCTTATCAACCCCAAAGCGGCGGTTATCAACCAAGACCTGGAGGTAATCCTCCTCCAAGTGGTGGCTATCCACCTCAAAGTGGGGGTAATCCTCCTCCAAGCGGTGGCTATCCACCTCAAAGTGGGGGTAATCCTCCTCCAAGTGGTGGCTATCCACCTCAAAGTGGGGGTAATCCTCCCCCAAGTGGTGGCTATCCACCTCAAAGTGGGGGTAATCCTCCCCCAAGTGGTGGCTATCCACCTCAAAGTGGTGGCTATCCACCACAAAGTGGAGGTTATCCACCTCAAAGCGGTGGCTATCCACCACAAAGTGGTGGTTATCCAGGTCAACAGTCATCGTATCCATCCCAAGGTGGTTTTCCAGGAAGTCAACAAAGTGGTGGTTTTATGTCAAATGATCAACGTTCACAACAGCTTAATCAACTTGTTCAAAGATACGAAATTAGTCCACAAATAGCTGCACGTTTACATATACTTGCTAATTGCGAAATCGTTGTTCTATGTGATGATTCAGGTAGTATGAATACACCACTTCAAGGTACTAATCAAACACGATGGGATGAACTAAAATCTGTATGTAATCAAATTTATATTATTTTTCAAGTCATTTTTATTTTTATACATAGCTCGTTAATATTGTCGTTGATATTTGTGCAGTTATGGATTCTAATGGTGTTGATGTTTATTTTTTAAATCGAGATCCTGTACTGAATGTAACTAATGCACAAAATATGCGTCATGTATTTAATTCACCAGCAAAAGGTTTAACTCCACTTGTACCTGCATTACGAAAAATTCTTGCAGCTAAACGTAGTTTAACATTTGAAAAGAAACTTTTGATTCTTATTGCTACTGATGGGTATAATTTAAATAATTGATATTTATTTGTTTTTTTATGCTTCGTTTTATTTTTAGAGCACCAACAAATGAACGTGGTCAAACAGATATTGGTTCATTAGAGGCCGTTTTACGAAATGAACGCACGCCACAAACTTACATTACATTTTTGGCTTGTACAGATGATCTTGATTCTGTAAATTATTTATCAAGTTGGGATAAATCAATGCCTAATTTGGATGTTATTGATGATTATCGTTCAGAACGAGCTGAAATTCAACGAATACGTGGTGCAAATTTTCCATTTTCTTTTGGTGATTATATTGTCAAAGCTTTATTAGGTTCTATAGATCCTTGGTAAATCTGAACTTCATTTTATATTTGATCATACTAAAAAANGGATAGCAGGAGGTGTGGGTTCGATCCCCACGAAGGTCATCTTTTTCATCGTTCTGTCACATAACATCAGTGACACTGCTTGTCTCTTTCGTTCTATACATATGTAAGCTAACATTACATAAAAAAGCCGTCGGACAAGAGTCGTTCTATGCAAAATCAAAGTGATAATAGCATGTTCTAGAACTTTTTTATATTTCAATTGACTGAAATTCTATTCAAATGAGATTTTATTTTTTTATTTTTATTCATAAAATAAATATCTAAAAAATAGTTCTTAAACAGTTTAATGTTTTGTTTTTAATTTCTTGAAGTAAAATTATATTCGTTAGGCAGTTGTTGAATATATGGATCCATCTTTGATGCACTTGTGAATATACATCCGACAAATACAGGAGTTCCTATAATAAAATTCATTTACTTTTTTTCTTTAATAAAGTCTTTTACCATGTTGTAAATGTTCAATAACTCGACAACAACCTAAATCAACAATAGTAATTCCAAAATATCGAAAATGCTCATCAATTTTAAATAATGTATCTGATGTTGATTGTACATAATAATAAGGTTTTCCATTCAATGGATCAATAAATTCTATCCAATATTGTTTTCTACTTAAATCAATACTTATATTCTGAGTTATTTTATTAAATTATTCTTTTAATTGTTTTCGTTCATTTTCAACTTCTACTGACCATGTTGACATATCAGAATTTGTTTAAAATATTATTATTATAGCTGTTAATGGTTATATGAAAACATCATAATTTAAAAATAAATGTTGTAATTCAGATCGTAATGATAATGGACAATCATATGTATGAATTTCTAATTTTGATAAAAATTCTTTTGTATTTTTATTAAATCTTTTTTCTGAAAATAATTAGAATTAAGTTTCGGTATTGATTTTGTCTCATAACAAAATTGAATATGTCCTGATAATGGCAAATATGAATTAAATTTATGAATATCTGATTGTTTAACAAGATGAGATTTAAAATCAAATGAATTTAATGATAATTAATGAATTGAAGAGAAAAATAATAATGATCGAGAACGAATAAAACGATCCATTTTAATCTAAAAATGTAATTCTCTATCGTATTTCTTATAGTTCAAATTTCTATTCATCTTTGATGGAAAGACAAAAAGAATTATTTCGATGAAATATAATCAAATTTTTAGTTAATAGAGTAACTTTTGATATAAAACAGTTTCTCTAAATGAATAAATAAATTCTTTTTTTCTTAAATAGAACAAGTTGTTTTTTAAAGTTCTATCTCAACATATTATTTTGTTCAAGTATATTCTTGTATGCATTGACGTTATTTACGTGGATAATGAATTATTTAATTGTCTGTTTATCTTCCTGTTTGGTCTTCATTAATTCATTGTCGTAATAATTTGATATTTCTTCTTTGATTTTACGAACAAGTATGCCAACAACGTCTAATTTTAAACTACTAAAAAAAGTTGGTATTTAATTATTATTCTATTGCACTAACATACCCATCTTCATTAAGATAATCTTTTTTCTTCAAAAAAAATTCATGTGCATGATGTTTACTACACTAAAAATTAAAAATTGATGAAATTAACCCTTTCAGGACGGAATTTTTTTTGTCGAAGAGTGGTTCTCTTATCATTTATTAAAATTCTATTTAGCTCAAAATGATTACATAAAAATCTTATGATAATGAAAAAAAAAATTTTTTCTTCTTATAAACGGAATGTTATTTTGCAAATTATGCATCCGAAGTTGAATCTCACTTCTACTTCTTTGTGCTACAGGAAGCACATCTTCATGTGCCGTTCACTGGCAAATGCCTTTCATTGTCAAAAT